CTCTTGCCAAGAGCTTCCTTCCAAGATGGCTGCTTCTAAACACCATCCCACCCCTCAGCCAACTCCATCAAGGTGGAGATGTACAGCGATGAGGAGTCGAGCAGACTGCTGGGGCCAGATGAGCGGCTCCTGGAAAAGGACGACAGTGTGATTGTGGAAGACTCATTGTCTGAGCCCTTGGGCTACTGTGATGGGAGTGGGCCAGAGCCTCATTCTCCTGGGGGCATCCGGCTGCCTAATGGCAAGCTCAAGTGTGACGTCTGCGGCATGGTCTGCATTGGACCCAATGTACTCATGGTGCACAAGCGCAGCCACACTGGTGAGTAAGCCAGAGGGGCTCTGGGAGGAGCTCCCAGGGTGGGACTGAAAGGCATGGGCAGTGCTGGGACAATAGCAGGGATGGGGCTGGAGGAGGCCCTGTAGGGGGTGGGTGGCCTCAGAAAGGGAAGGGTCTCTCCTAGCACATTTTTTAGCTGACAAAATGAGGCGGGCTGGCGGGGGGTGTGGAATTTGAATTCCCCTTAATACTTGTAGTCTCCTGGCACTTTTCTCACTGCTGTTATAAAAAAAAAAAAGCTGATATGTTTCTCAATATATGAGGTAGGGGAAGGTGTGGTAGCCTCAAGAATGAGCCAGTGGTCCGATAGGGGTAAGACTCCTGGGTATTCTTTGGGCCCTCCCATCTCATAATTAAAAAAAAAAATTGGCCAGGCACAGTGGCTCACGCCTGCAATCCCAGCGCTTTCGGAGGCCGAGGCTGGCAGATCACGAGGTCAGGAGTTGAAGACCAACCTGACCAACATGATGAAACACTGTCTTTACTAAAAATATAAAAATTAGTGGGCATGGTGGCTTGCGCCTGTAAAGCCAGCTACTCAGGAGGCTGAGGCAGGAGAATCGCTTGAACCTGGGAGGCAGAGGTTGCGGTAAGCCAAGACTGCGCCACTGCACTCCAGCCTGGGCAACAGAGCAAGACTCCATCTCAAAAAAATTAAATTAAAAAACCCAGAAAACAGAAGCTTCCTCTTCTCAGCTTCCTCAGGCTATGGGCTCCTAGGGCAGAGTGTAGCCTGTGGGACTAAGTTTTTGGTAACAGTCTTTTGGCCTCGTGTTCCAGGCCCCTCTCCCTGCCACACACCTCTAATCCACACCTTCCCCAAGGTAAGACTATTCCCAAGGGATCTTAATAAAGCAGGGTTTGTGTGCATGGCACTTCTGCCCATCAGCAATGTGTTCAGAGCACCTCTCTTTGGGCAAGGTAGGGTAGAGGGTAGGGGGATAGGTTCAACCTTCAAAGTTCCTCACATACAATCCTCTGGGATTGTTCTTTCACTTGCAGGTGAAAGGCCCTTCCACTGCAACCAGTGTGGTGCCTCCTTCACCCAGAAGGGGAACCTGCTGCGCCACATCAAGCTTCACTCTGGGGAGAAGCCCTTTAAATGTCCCTTCTGCAACTATGCCTGCCGCCGGCGTGATGCACTCACTGGCCACCTCCGCACACACTCAGGTCAGTGACTGTCCAGTGGGAGGAGGGAGTGAGGCTCCAGCACACCCAGAATGTAGAGCTCAGTGATTTCTCTTGTATTTGGGGAGTTACAGTGTCTGTCACTGAGGAGGGGAAAGCATTTACAGAGCAGATAGGGCCCCCTGCCTCTCTCATCCATCCTCTGGGCAGCAAAGCCCCATTGGGAATTTGGGAGACACCTTGATGGGGTATTTTTTATCTACCATAGTCTGTGACTTGGAACAAAAGAAATATGGGCAAAATTCTTTTTTTTAATTAATTAATTAATTTATTTTTAAGAGATGGGGTTTCACCAGGTTGGCCAGGCTGGTCTCGAACTCCTGACCTCAAGCAATCCACCCACCTAATTTATTTTTAGTAGAGACAGGGTTTTACTACTCTGGTCAGGCTGGTCTCGAACTCCTGACCTCAAGCAATCCACCCACCTCAGCCTCCCAAATTGCTGGAATTATAAGCATGAGCCACTTCGCCTGGCCATATGGGCAATATTCTTGGCTGTTAATAGTCACCCTTCCCTGACTTTTGTTTGTCTGCTTTTTCAAGACGGGATCTTGCACTGTTGCCCAGGCTGGAGTATAGTGGCGCAGTCTTGGCTCACTGCAACCTTGATCTCCTGAGCTCAAGCCTTCTTCCCACCTCAGCTTCCTGAGTAGCTGGGACCACACATGCCACTACACCCAGCTAATTTTTGTATTCTTTTTTAGAGACAGGGTCTCCCTATGCTGCCCAGGCTTGTTTTGAAGTCTTGATCTCAAGCGATTAGCCCACCTCAGCCTCCCAAAGTGTTAGGATTACAGGCATGAGCCACTGTGCCTGGCCTTTTCTAACTTGTTTTAGATTGTTGATGCCGAAATCCATGCCCTATTACCCCCAACATCTAAGCCCGTGGGAGATCCCTACTCTCATTCCTGTCTGCCCCAGGCCTCACACCTGTCATCATCTTTACCCACCTTCCCTCTACACCACCAGAGGTCTTAGGCAACCAGTCTGTCCTCTTCTTTACTTCCTGATGGCTCCTGGAAATATCCATGGCTTCTCAAACTGAAAAAAAGGGAGCCTAAGAGGTCCAAATAGGAAAAGAGTATCCTATTTCTGTTCTGTATCCCAAGAGGTTGTCACCTTCCCAGATGCAAGAGAAAGTACAGAGGGTGCCTAGAGATGAATGTTTGGAAGAGTGCTGGATTAACAAGGGAAACTGGATTAACAAGGTTTTTTTTTTTGAGACAGAGTTTCACTCTTGTTACCCAGGCTGGAGTGCAATGGCGTGATCTCGGCTCACCGCAACCTCCGCCTCCTGGGTTCAGGCAATTCTCCTGCCTCAGCCTCCTGAGTAGCTGGGATTACAGGCACGCGCCACCATGCCCAGCTAATTTTTTGTATTTTTAGTAGAGACGGGGTTTCACCGTGTTGACCAGGATGGTCTCGATCTCTTGACCTCGTGATCCACCCGCCTCGGCCTCCCAAAGTGCTGGGATTACAGGCTTGAGCCACCGCGCCCGGCCTTTAACAAGGTTTTCTAGCCCAGTCAAGACTATTTGAATCAGTATCTGTCTGAATCAGCTGGACAGATAGCACTTTTTAGGTGTTCTACCAAGCTTTAGACTTTTGGCTTGGACTTGGGAAGAGGCCAGGAGGGAGGAAGCTCAAGATTGGGAAAAGGCAGGAAGAAAGGAAGCGGGGAAAGAATTAGTAGGGTCTGTCCTTGGAAACTTTCCTGGCTATTTTTCTCTTTTCTTAAACTCTCCTGAGCCAGGATTTAAAGGGACAGAGCAATAATTTCACCACCCTTTACTTTCTCCATCCACTTACCTTGTTCCAGGTTCTCCCACCTTGTAACTGGGACCTCTTTATCTCTATGTATGTGGAGAAACAGGGAAAAAGATCATCACTGATTCATGCTTTATATCTACAGAGCATTTCACTTGTGTTTCTTCATGTGATCCTCATAAGAGTTCCAAGGTAGATGTGATTATCCCTATTTTGTTGACAAGGAAAATGAAGCTGTTGGGGGGAATAAATGACTTGGGGTCACTTAGCTATTTTGCAGCCTAGCTGGAACCCCATCAAGATCCAGTGCCAGAAATATGTACTCCTTTTCCTCAGAAAAGGGCCTGCTCCCCCTGCTGGTTTGGAAAAAGGATAGCTTGGCCCCTAGACTTCCTACCAACTACACAGTGAGGTCGATTTTGGATGTTGTTCTGTAGATTCTTAACAACAGAAGCAGAGCCAGGTTCAGTGGCTCATGCGTGTAATCTCAGCACTTTGGGAGGCTGAGGTGGGTGGATCATGAGGTCAGGAGTTCAAGGCCAGCCTGGCCAACGTGGTGAAAGCCCATGTCTACTAAAAATACAAAAAATTAGCCAGGTGTCGTGGCGGGTGCATGTAATCCCAGCTACTTGGGAGGCTGAGGCAGGAGAATCGCTTGAACCCAGGAGGTGGAGGTTGCAGTGAGCTGAGACCCAACCACTGCACTTCAGCCTGGGCAACAAAGCGGGACTCCGTCTCAAAAAAAAAAACAAAAAACCAGAAGCAGACACAGATCTACTGTTGCATTCCATCTCTGTGAGGTGCTTTCTGTTGTAACCCATATTATAAGAAAAAAGAGAGTGGATATATGTTCTCACTCATGTGGGAGCTAAAAAAGTTGATCTCATAGAAGTATGGAGTAGGCTGGGCATGGTGGCTCACACCTATAATCCCAGCACTTTGGGAAGCCAAGGCCGGTAGATCACTTGAGCCCAGGAGTTTGAGACCAGCCAGGGCAATGTAGTGAGACTTCGTCTCTATAAAAAGAAAAAAGTTAGCCAGGTATTGTGGCACACACCTGTAGTCCCAGCTACTCGAGAGGCTGAGACGGGGAGGATCACTTGAATCTGGGAGGTGGAGATTGCAGGGACCTGTGATCATGTCACTGCACTCCAGCCTGAGTGACAGAGTGAGACCCCATCTCGGAGCAAAAAAAAAAGAAGTAGAGAGTAGAACAGTGGTTACCAGAGGGTGAGAAGGGTTGGGAGTAGGTGGATAGGGAGAGGTTGGTAAATGGGTACAAGCTTACAGTTAGAAAGGAGGAATAAGTAGTAGTGTTACACAGCATAGAGTGTCTATAGTTACACACAGTAGAGTGACTATAGTTAACAATAATTTATTGCATGTTTCAAAATAGCTAGAAGAGATGATTTTGAATGTTCCAAACACAAAGAAATGATAAGTGTTTGCTGAGCACGGTGGCTCACGCCTGTAATCCCAGCACTTTAGGAGGCTGAGGCGGGAGGATCACGAGGACAGGAGTTCAAGACCAGCCTGGCCAAGATGGTGAAACCCCGTCTCTACTAAAAATACAAAAATTAGCCAGGCATGGTGGTGGGCACCTGTAATCCCAGCGACTCAGGAGGCTGAGGCAGGAGAATCGCTTGAACCCAGGATGTGGAGGTTGCATTGAGCCAAGATCATGCCACTGCACTCCAGCCTGGGTGACAGAGTGAGACTCC